AATCATCTTTGTTGCTCTTCTCTGTACTCTTTCTAGAGTCTCAACATCTTTTTTACATCGTGGTGACCAAAACTGGATGCAGTATTCCAAGTGTGGCCTTACCAAGGCATTGTAAAGTGGTATTAATACTTCACGTGATCTTGATTCTATCCCTCTGTTAATGCAGCCTAGCACTGTGTTGGCCTTTTTGGCAGCTGCACCACACTGCTGGCTCATATTTAAGTGATTGTCCACTAGGACTCCGAGGTCCCTCTCACAGTTACTACTATTGAGCAAGGTACCCCCTATACTATACCTGTACATTTGGTTTTTCTTGCCTAAATGTAGAAGCTTACTTATTTAATGAGGTAGTTATGATCCAGGAATTCCTGGGGATATGGACACATATCTGGACACAATCCCAGGACAGTCAGTTTCCAAAGCAATGTCATATCATAAGGTGATGTTGGCTATGGGTTGGATGGCTACCTGGCTGGGCCTCTAAGTGGTTCTCAACTGGAAAGGTTCGTTTATGGATGCATTGACTGGTAATGCTACTATAATACCTGAGTAAGATGCCACATTCTGGAATAAGCAGGATTCCAGAATTATGTTCACTAAATATTCTGCTTGTAAAGATACAAATCTGCCTATATAGCAGTGGTTTAAACTTTTGTACTCTATGCAGAGTACAATCAGGGTTTTCATTAAACAAATCCTCAATCTCAAATGAAAGAGCTTCAATCCATGCACTAGCCTCTTGAGTCATGGAACTACATGACTCCAAAGAGTTATGGCTACTTACATCTTCTTCACTCTGACTTTCATGTTTGTCTGTATTAATTTGTTGCTTGGCCACTGGAGGCCTAAGGCAAAAATATATAAACAATTTCTCTGCTATCATCTAACAACTAGAAAAAAAGTAATGGATCAATTTTTCCCTGGGAAAGTGCTGGTACTCAGTCAATTACAATTAGTTTTTATCTGTGCAATATGTCAATCTCATTATCCCCATTCTATTTCCTCCGTATTTACAGACACTAAATGTGAGATTTTCTTGGGATTTTGCTAGCTTCATAATATTGGAATTTGCTACCAGATGGGGGACCAAATATTTATACTGATCCCTAACATGATAAAAAGTTTCAATGACACAGAGATGGTTCATTAAACCTTAGCCAACTTAAAAGTGCAGGCATGATAAGCATATAAAGCAAGATCATGCAGTTCCCAATAGCCATGCATATTAGCTAGTTGAACTCGAGAAGTTGTAAAGGAACCTTTTGAAACAAACTTTGAGATGTCAGATTCATAATCCCTCTCACTGAGGAATTTCTAGGAATTGATATCTGTAGCTAGGTGAGAAATAACCTTATGGGAGCAGGGAATGTAAGATAGCTGCAAGCATGTATGGAAAAATATGTCTTTGATTCATCTTTAGAATACATTCTAGAATACAGTTGATATATGGAAGAGGTATGATCTTATCCCTCCTCTGTTGGGTGGGAGACTAAATAGTGGAGAAAGAAATATGACAACTATGATATTGCTTCGTTGTTGTTGTTCAGTTATTAAGTTGTGTCCAACTCTTCAGATCTCAACCTCACAGACTATAGCAAGCCAGAGTCCCCTACCCCTCACTGTCTCCTGGAGTTGATTACAATGGAAAGAAAGGTTGTTTCTTTTTTTTTAGTGATCTTAAAGGTGGCAGTAGGTAGCTAGAAGAGGATGCTTTCACCTATGGGTGTCTCTGAAAAATGAAGTGATATCTAATTGCTTCAGAGGATCTCATTAATCAAAGTCATATGCTCTAGTTTTATATTTTAAAACAACAGTCCCCAACTTTTGTAGTCTACAGCCCGGGAGTTGGGGACCCCTGTTTTAAAACATTCTGAACTTCACAGAATGACTGCATTTGAATAATTACACTTTACTAAACATAAGATATTTTTGCTGGAATCGTAATTTCAGCAGTATTTTAACATTAATTTCCTATTACTGCAAAAATATTTCACAGGTACATACTTGTTTAAAAAATCTTGTTCAGATCCAGGTTCTGACTCATGCTCTGGTATTTGCTCCCCAATTTGTCGAGTATTTTCTCTCAACACTGTTGATGTGAGCTGAGGTGTCTGTAGAGCACCTGGGGTCTGGATGCTGTCATTTCTATTCAGCCAAGTGCCTTCAAGATTCTCATCTGATATATAACCATAAATGATTAAAGTAAAATATACACATCAACCGTAATTTATTATTGCTTAATTAATAAAGCAAGCAACTAATGAAATGCAATCCCAACAGGAAAAATGCTTAACAATAATCTGTTTGAAGGCTTATTAAATATAATGCAGCATATAATACAATATACTGCACACATACATATATACAATGCATTCAGAAAATATTCAGACCCACTTCACTTTTGTCAATTTTGTTATGCTGCAGCCTGATTCTACAGAGATAAGTTTGGTTACATGAGTTGAAGGGATGAAGATCAAACTGGGAAATCCAAGCATTCCAGACATATTTGGATAGAATTTATAAAATACTCAAAGAGAAAGAAATGAAAAGTTTTAAGAACAGAATATATGAGTCTGTGTATGCATGTGGTAGAAACAAAGGTGGTTTTCAAGGCTAGAAAAGAATGAAGAATAAACGTTACTTGTTGTAAATTATTTGTACTTAGGTTTCCTTTTCATTTCCAATTTTATTTTATTTTTTACTTCTTACTCCTTTTCCATATTTTGTATTACACAGTTTATGCTGAAAGGCAATATTCTAATGTATCTTCTGCATAATTTAAGTGCAAAAGATCACAAACCTGCCTATAGTCCTTGATTTACAACCATTTTCTTAGTGACTATTACAAGCTAGAACGGCACTGAAAAAAATGAATTGTGACACATTTACAACCGTTGCAGCATTTCCATGGTCATATGATGAAAATTCAAATGCTTGGTAACTGGTTCATATTTATGATGGTTGAAGTGTCCCAGGGTTAAGAGATCACCTTTTGTGACCTTCTAACAAGCAAAGTCAATGGAGAAGCCATATTCACTTTACAACCGTGTTACTAGCTAACAACTGCAACGATTCACTTAACAACTGTATCAAGGAAAGTCATAAAATAGGGCAAAACTCATTTAACAACTGTCTCATTTAGCAACGGAAATCAATCGTGGTCATAAGTCAAGGATTACCTCTATTGCTTTATTTCTGTTTGAGGAAAGCATTAATGAAATAATATTTCACTCTGTTGTTAAGAGAAATACTGGTTCAAAAAGAGATATTAGCTTAAACCAGAAACCATTTGAACCAAATAATGTCATAAAGTTATATTTTTATTTAACATTCTGACTACAATACATAATTTTTAAAGTCACATTTACCTTCAACTCTTTTCTTATGAAGTGGAGGTCGACCTTTCTTATTTCGAACAGAAGAAGTTTTGCTACTGCTGCTTCCACTATTCACAGACATCCTATCGTCCTCACCACCTGTCACTAATGAATTTCTGTAGGAAATCAATGGAAGCCATACATCTTCCCTCCTTTCCATCATCTGTTCTGTTAGGAACTTCTCCAAATATGAGTGACTGGGTTGGAGAAGAGGAAGAGAGAACAGTATAAACAAATGATGAAAATAGCTATCTATAGCTACAATGTAACTTCTATTTTAAATAGTTATTAGTTTTTTATTTATTTATTTATTTAATTTAATTTATATGCCGCCCTTCTCCCGACAGGGACTCAGGGCGGCGCACAACATATTTAAAAACCCGAACATATATACAATCCCCCCCTTAAAACCGAATTAAACCGAATTTTAATGTTGCGTCTTCCGAATATTTAAAACCCAATATAAAATCCACCCTAGGTCAGGTCCGCTTGCTGGAAGAGCCATGTCTTGAGGGCGCGACGGAAGGTAAGGAGATCCGGAATTATCCGGATCTCGGGGGGTAGTTCATTCCAG